TGCGTCGTACAGTCAAGCACTGCTGCGACTATATATCTATACTTTATGTATCTATATATATATAAGCAGGTTTCATTTGAAAACTAGCTATATAACTCTGTGAATTGTTTTTTTTTTAAATTAAATTTACTTGACAATTCGTTTCCCCCTACCTGTCTTCTTGACAGGTAGATACACTTTTTACGTATACTTGCACTATATATATGTAAACCGATTAAAATCGTTAAACAGCTTTTTGCCACTGTAAATATATAACTGTGCTATACTATATAGGTATATATGCTGTAAAACGACGACACGAAAATCGCGGATTAGTTGTAGGTACACACTTTTGTATAATTTAATATAATTATACCTATATATATATTACGTTTGTATATACAGGTACTCATCGCCATATTAGCGATAAATCTCATTATACATGTTTAATAAGTGATACGCGACGTTTAAATACTCGTGTTAAGCGCATAACACTGCACGGATTTGCGTGACTCGCGCTTTAAAACGATGCTTATTACAACGAGAGGGGCTTAAGCGTTATACGTATATATACTTGTTGATATCCACCCCATATAATGGTTGATATATCATATACATAGTAAATGTAGATACAACACCTCGTTGACTTAATAAATACCTAATACAAAATTTATATACAGTATATATATACTGCAACAGCTATATATTATAGTGTTCTGTATATTATACAATATAAGTATAGGTTCTATGTATATATATGAAGTAAAACAACAAAGTTGTTGCTATGTGTAGTTAGTATGTATATATATATATATATATACTCGTATAGATATAGACATATAGTGAATAGCTTATAGCTATATTTTCGTGTACTTTACGATCACTTTACAACTATATTATATTGAAAACTGTGGCGGAATTATGTACTTTAAATATAGGTATTAATTAGGGTCGGAATTTAACGAACTTAAAAATCTTAAAACATTCAGTAAATTCAGTACGTTGTATAATGATGAGGTATACCTAAAATCTTTTGTACAGAACGTGTAGAACATTCAAAAACAAAAACAATTTATAAAATTCGTTTTGATTGACGAAAATTATTAAAAATATCAATAAAATACTTATCAAAATATATATATATATCAAAAAATACCTATAAAATAAAAAATGTGTCAGAAAATTCAAACTGCAATCAAATTATTTTTATAGATTTATGTAGAAGATATTATACACCCTTCTGTTTATAAAAATGGAAAAATATACCAATCGCGGTTAAAATGTAACAATCACGATGATGATATAGTCATATTAGTATAGTACGGCGCATTTGTTCATGTTTAATATATAAGTATAATTATATGTATAATATTAATATTATCAATTATCATTATGTAGAATCTAACCTATTGTATAGTGCTTATGTGMTCTATATATATGACGCCTATATAATATACTGCGGTAGCCGGTAGGTATAAGTATTGGGTATACTTGCATAAGGGGTTTAAAATAGGGGGGGGGATTCGTAAAGCGTCAACGGGCTGAAAGCGAGAAATTGGCATCACACACATACTGCACACTCACACGCATATTCAGTATTGTACAGTATACACGGATAATATAAAGCAAAACTGGTATACCTATAGGTGAGGCGAAATTACATAAAAAAAGTTGTCGCTGATTGTCTCTATGTACGAAATATGTGTGTACATGTGCTATTAGTATATTGCCGAATACACACGCACACGTGGAGACGACGACGACGGAATCGGATTGACGTATGAAAGCGCCGGGCGGTCCCCAGATAACAATTGCCTTCATGTCATCACCGCCCAGGAGTCGCGCGGGGGACCGTCCGCGCGATTTGTGTGCATATATGTTATTACTGCGCCAATGACTTCCGGTAGCCCCGACATCCGGCCCAACGGATTTTCGTTGTTCTACTTTAATACACACACACATAGGTTATACACAACGTATTGGCGGCGGTGCTGGTCCACAATAATAAACGACCGATTATAATTTATATTATTACGTATATGGTTCCTATATTAAGTCTATATACTGTAGTGGATCATATATATATATTWTATATTATTCAAGTAAGTGACGGTGGCCCGCAATTATCGACCGGACACGTCGTTGTCGTGGGAAAGAAAAATACGTGAATTTGTTTCCTTTAATATATAGTAGGTATATATACTATTATTATACAGTTATACATATTACATATATAAAAATAATATAATATATATCAATATATGTATCATAGCCCGTAGGTATATTATTATTGTTGTGGTGATGTATACTTAAACAGCCTATAGTTAGATACATATTATATAATATAATATATATCAATATATGTATCATAGCCCGTAGGTATATTATTATTGTTGTGGTGATGTATACTTAAACAGCCTATAGTTAGATACATATTATATAATATAATATATATCAATATATGTATCATAGCCCGTAGGTATATTATTATTGTTGTGGTGATGTATACTTAAACAGCCTATAGTTAGATACATATTATATAATAAGAGTTTTTATGTGGAACAGCCCACTTATAGTTGGTGGATTATATATATATTATATTATATAATATTAGGTACCTATACCCTGGCGCATATAGATCGGACGGTTTGTTGCTACAGCTGTTTRCGACTATTATAGATTTTCGTATATGTCGGTGTTGGACACATAAAGTTATATTTTTATTACATACATATCTAATAATTAGGTTATTTTTCATTAGGGGATGAGATACGAGTATAAGCATGTAATGTCAAGAAATATTTTAAAATTGAGTAGATATATATAGACAGAAAGAGAAAGAAGGTCAGAAGGTATACCTATAATCTATAGATTAATGTATAGCACATATATAATAGCTAGTACTCTCATACACACGCACTTGGTATATATAGGTATTACATAATAATATCAAATGTTATGCATAAACGATAGTTACATTATTTTAATAAACTGTGTATGACAAGAACTATTGTATATATTATTATATAAAACTCTACATAATACATAACTTTATTAAGTAAGAATATACCTTCATAATAGATACTTGGAATTACCCATTTTAATCAGACTATTGTAATTTGTAGGCACCTATTGAATTATAATTATAACCAATAAGCAGTAGGTATATAATATACCGATGATCATTTTTTATTGTGGGTATATATACTAATGATGGTATAATGTGCGTCTATTTATTATATAATTATATGTATATGCATAGTCTATACTACACAATAAGATTAAACAAGAATTAATATTTAAGTTTTGATAAGCGACTTATAATGATCAATTTATTATTGTAATGGTTAATTCTACAGTCAAAATATTGTTAAAAGCAGTTACAAAAGTTTTCATGGCCATCATAAGAAAATATTCCTAATATATATTATATAATATTCTATACAAACTTACCTTTATAAATATATTAGAAAATATACACTTTAGCTGCACTAGGTATATACAGTTTACACATGTTAACAATATATTATGATGATGTACTCGTTTGATACAGTTATGTATACAGAAAACCTATATGTGTAGGTATATATATACTCTATAGGTTATATTCTACTTAAAAGTAATAGGTCCATTACGTACATAATATATGAAAAACTATAATCGCACATATTTAATTATATATATACATATATATATAGGTTCAGTTTATATAACGTATTTATAGAATCATATGACATATATATATATAATAATAATTAAACGTATTTCGTTCGAATTCGTTTTGAAGTCTCACGTATACATATATGTACAGTATTATTGTATTTTTTGTTGTTTCGTATACTTATACCTATTATATAGATATATTGTGACTATTACATATACTAATATATATATATATATAGGTAACTACTTATCGTGTATGTATAGTAAAACCACTTGTTACATTATCTATGTAAATGTAGCTATGTATATAAGTGTTAATGTATTACATATATAATTATATTTTTACACATGCATTTATACTAATCTGCGCAGAGTATGATGTACAATAATATAAATATATAAGTATCAATATTCTAATGTTGTGTAATATATTGGAAAAGGGAGAAACTTTTTAAAATCATCAATATGCATTTGTAGAAAATAACCAACTTAAAGAACTTAATATAACCTATTTGAATTTATTTGGTAACAATATATAATAATAAAGAGACTCATCGGGTTTGACAAAATCGATGCCCTGCGCCTGGAATAATATTAACGAAGAGCGAGGTAATTAAAAACTCGAACAATAAGTCAACAAAAAACCGTTTGCCGAAGTATATTGGTGTACACAATACTCGTTATAATTATAATAAAATATAATTCAAATAATCGTGAATACGCTTCGGGATCTTATATATATATTTATAGCTGTGTATGCATATTATAATATAGGTATACCTATATATATAATATATTAATTTATCAAATTGCAAAATTCAAAGCATAAATAATAATATAATACAATATTAATTAAGACCGAAMAAATGGGAATCTCAATCGCAGCTTGTCGGCGCGGCGAAGACACCCCCGTAAACGGAACGGGCGAGTGGTGCATGCGAAGGGATAAGGGCGGCCACCGCCACGGATGACCGCGCGCGTCGACGATGAGCGACGATGAGCGCCGTTGATGAGCGGCGGCGGTGGTGGCTTCGACGACGACGAAGACCGCCACCGCGGCGGTGGGGAATCGCCGATTGCAGCTGGCAGGGTGCCGGCCCCGCCTACAATCTCCGGAACCGGCTCCGCCCATCAGTCACTCGCGCACACACACACGCACACGCCGCATCGATGTGTGTGCACGACGGCGGCGAACGTCCAGGCGCACCCAAAGAAGCGCGTGCGTGCGCATCGTAGTACACCGCCGCCGCCGCCGCCGACCCATCCCWCCCCACCGCACCACCGTCAGCGCGAACCCCGGGGACAGCTTCGGCATCGTCGATCTCGTGGCCCGGTCGCCGCGGCAGTCAACAGTCCGATCGCGTCGATCCGGTTCGCGGTCTGGTGAACGCAACGCTCATCATCCGACGATATCTTCATTCGTGGTCGGTCATCGTCGTACAGTTGTCACGGAGGTTGATCTGTGATACATATATTTTCTTATTATCGTCGAGAATAATAAACGACGTATGTTTTTTTAACGACCCATCATCATTTTATTTACTTACAGCGATTTTGTTATTATTATTATTATTATTATTTTTTTTTTTTATCACACTTCGTCGATTTATTTAATGTTTATCGATATATTATATTTTATATAAATGGTATAAGTTGAACACCGCTCATAAAACGATTTAGTTTAATAATCTTTTTTCTTATACGATTTTTCCGATTGTGCAACCCACTCCACCCTCTATATTCGCGACAATACACACATTCCGTGTGGGTATTTTGTCTTCCGATCGTACAGACGTCTTTTTTTCTTTCGGAGTGATATCAAAGTTCATCGCCAGCCTTTCGGAGCCAGCATTCGTGTATGATTCGACGTCCCGCCACCCCGTGTAGGTCGACATGAGCAGAGGTAAGTCTTTATTGTAATAATATAATCCAAACATACGTAAACGTTGTATAAACTCTATATAATACATGTTATATATAGTATAATATAATCATATATGTATATGCAACTTCAAAGTATTTATTTATTTATTTTATTCTATTATTATTATTATTATCGATCTATACGGACATTGGACATTGGACGTGGCAATACATTATATAATATTTTTTTTTTATAAAGTGAGAAATATAATATAGAAATATTACGAAGTATTATAAGTACATCATCAATGATTCTATGTACCTATTTTTAGATGGATACGTTGATTTTTAACACAACTATAATATTATTATTTAATACATGGCTTGAAAAATTGTTGTAGATACTTTATAGTGTCTCATATAAAAATTAACAGCTTTAATGTCATATATGTTAATCAGAAATAAACAAAAAATATTAATACAATTTTTCTATGTTTTCAACAAATCACTATTGTATATAGGTATCAATTAGTTATAATAACTCAATTACTCATCATCAACGTCTCACATGAATTCAGATCTTCTATATAAATATTTAATACTTGTTGATTTCACTGTAGATTATTTCAGTAATTTTATACATAGGCCTAATTACTGTTATTATTCAATTAGTTATGTTAATACTACATAATATACAATGCAGACGTCATAGCAAACATTAACGTAAGATTTAAAATTAAACATATTACATGTTTATATAATATAAATGGGACATATCCAGTATCCACGTATCTATATGCTTATCATTTATCACTTATTAATATTGTTCAACCTAATTAAGTGAGTATTCAAAGCTCGTATAATATTATCTATATAGCCCGTTAGTGACACTACGTGTAGAATGTAGATATAATCTAATATTATATTTTAGGTTTTTTCGTATGAATTATCAAAATGTAAACGGAACATTAATCGTGCAGTAATTTCATACGAAGAATTGTGTGTTTCATCGTTCACGTCTAAATAGATAATCAGGATTTCTAAAATAATAATAATAATATTTGTATTGCCCGTATAATATAGCCATATAGGCCATCATCAATTCGGGGCTAGTAGATTATTATATAGATATAGGTATAGAACCACAAAATAATAATGATAAAACCGAACAACCATTAACCATATTCCTGCACTATCGATAATAATATGGGGCATTATAAATACTAAAATATTAATGTRGTATTGATGATTTCAAAGTTAATTTTCCATAAGTAAGGTAATATTTTACCCTCGATTAATTTGAACTTACAATTTAAGCGAATATTATTTGCTTTTCATATCTATGTGCATTGTGCAGATTTCCTGCACACATCGTTTACCTACAATGTTAACTTTTATTGATGATTATTAGCTTTACATAAACATTCATCGTATATAGTTTTAAGAAAAAAATTTAAATACGAAGCATTAGTATATTTAGATGAAAGTTAACACGAAAAAAACAATAATTAATTTGATTGATGAGTATATCATATACCCTCATGTGTCATTTTCTTCTTTAAATAGGTAGAGATATGTGCAACAGACCGAATTTTATACATTCATTATATTATAATGTATTTTATTATTCATTTTCTTCAATACTAGACAATGCATTTTTCCTGATATTTATTATCGTATTTAAAGTTATGAATAATAATTATAGTATTTATTTTATTTTGTATTTTTATTATTAAATAAAGTTTTAGGTACTGACGTAAGTCATTTTAACTTATTGTTGATTAAATTACTTTTTTTTTTAACATTTGGACAATAGATAATAATTTTAATAATATTAAAATATAAAATAAGATATCGGCTACGTTTCAGTATTTACAACTCGGAGAAAAAAAATACATAAAAAATAATTATAGTATAATATACTTCCAAAAGTTTTTTTTTGATATTTTAATTTAAGTTAATAAGACTATTTTAAAATTGTACTTTTTTTTGTAAATTGTATTAAAAAAAGTGCAAATTATATAATATAACACCTTACCTTATATTAAATAAATTATTGAATATACCAAAATATCCAATGTATATTTTAGATTCTGAGCGGAGCGATGTTTATTATTGACACTAGTCGTGTGAAAAATCTTCTAAATATATAGTTAGATCAAATTTTACGTTAAACCGTATAAACAAGCGTGTGTATCTGATACATATTGTAGTATAAAAAAATATATATAATCCTTGACAATTTTTTTTATCGCTTACTTATATATTTTTGGGGTGTATAATATCTATACACCGTGAAACCTCGATACGTCTCAATAATATAATAGTCCCCTCACGCATGCGATTTCTATATACGATTGCGACGGCTCTTATAGACTGAACAGTGAACAGGTTTACATGAGACAATTTCACGTACGTACACGTTACTACAAATAAAGTCCCCTCATGCGTAACGGACGCAGACCGTAAAAATCCGTCAAAATATTGAAAACACCAATTTGTGGGATACGATATAAAAATATAAAAATCAACACTTTATAAATAATTACCCCAGTAATCGCCACGGGGGAGCAAAGTTCAAAAGCGTGCTTTAAAAACGTCAAAAGTTCATTATTATATCATCGCGGCGTGTATCATATGCAGATATTGTGATGAATCAAAATGAGTAACATACTTTTGGTTCGCCAACTAATTTCCTTGTCTACATAATTGCCATTGAATCTATTAATTAACTATTGTGCTTTTTCTGTACAATTGGTTTGATTATTGTATCTTCTTCATTGATAACACGCTAATCGTTTTTTAATTTAATTTCAACTTATTCGTTTATTTATTTAACYAAATAGCTGTTTATTACACACATAATATAATATATGCACACACGAAAATTATACATAATTATATTATGGTGCAGTGTGTAGGTATATTGATTAACAAATATTATATAGCGTTGTCATTTGTACTGATTAATGCCTATATTTATTATGTATAATATTATAATATATGATATATAGGTACCTCACATTATGTGTACCTATTATAATATATAAATATGAAGAAATAATAAAATATACATATTATACGAGTCGTGTGCGTGTGTAACCGAAATATTCAGATCGTTGATAACGAGTGCATACAGATTTAATGTGTTGCAAATTGCACGTATTTATATCGCTATTTGACAAAAAAATAGGTATTGCAAGTTTTGCGTGTTGAGGTATATAATATTATAACACGCTCTTGATATAAAAGGCGCGGTAGGCTGACGAATTGGCGCGTTGAGTAAATCAATAATCGTTATAATATTRTTATTATTGTATAGGTACTATTCCATATTCATTATTTTTACTATCATTAATTATTACGTGAATACTTTACCGGTGATCAAAGGACTAATAATAGGTTAATTTCCTCATATCGGTTTGATTACTTAGAAATAACCACGATAACATTTGTACGATCGATTACTACATATACATATTTTTTCCAAAGTATTTCCATTCATCGTGTTACTTGGTTCCCATTGAACACTCGTTTGGCGTACAGCTTTATCCATGAATGTATATAATATTATAATATAATAACATTAATAACAATATAATATTACCGCATGGCCGTACATTAAACGAGCGAAAACGCCATTAACGAGCCTGACTTTATTATTATACGGTAACCTAGTTGTCGTTACGATAATAGTCACTGTAATTATATAGTTGTCGGGACAATGCATTATTTATGTATACTCTTTTTATATACATAATATATTATATGTTTGGATACGTAGCGGGTTCAGCATCTTGAAGTTCGCAGTAATTGTTGTGATTCTGTTGATTCCGATAAATATAAACAATTTTGATAACTCATATCGTAATGTAGTCATCGAATGCGTCACACAATCATGATCAAGTTAAAAAAAAAAAAACACTGTTTTACGTACCGTGATTTGTAAAGGTTCGTAGTTATTATTTTAAAATATCCATATATTTTGTCCAATATAACTAAATAAATATAGTATGATGCACTAAAAAATGTGATAGTTTTTTATCGTATATGATCATAATATTTAATAATATAATATAGTATATTGAATGGTGAAATAACCCTTGAAATAACCTTGTTTGCGTAAAATTGATTTTAAGCACTCTATAAACACCCAATAAAATATARATGAAAAAAGGTAGGTTTAATACTGTAGTAGATATTATAAAGTAGTTACAATTAATACTAAATATTTTATTTGTTTATTTGTAATTATAAGTTATTTCTTATTATATGAGTGTAGATTTATATATTTAAATAATTTGACAAAAGACGGACAATATTATTAATTATTTTTTTAATTTATCGAGTATTTTATATTATTTTTTGTTGACCTAATCTTATTATATATACGTACCTGATCGTGCATTATATCTACGTATAAACGTTTGACAAAAAACTAACTTATTATTATTAGTTTTTTATACAGTATTTATTTTTTGTCTGCACTGGACCTCATCGAAGCCGCCGAGTGCTCTGGTAATGATAAGAAAGAAATCCTACACGATTAGGCATGGGACAGACGGTGTTTGCCTCTTTTAATCTCAGCCGGTGTCCAAACATCATGTCTCTTAGGGGATTTGGCTGTAAAAACAAAATAAAAATAAAAACAAAACAATATCCCTTACTTCGACCTTGTGATAGTGTGGTACAATCTTTGAAACCGCAAAAGAGTGTTATTAAACAATGTCGTCAACGAGCTGTTGATCCCAGGGCAATAAATCGGTGCGGGGACGATTTGTACAAATATTTGTATTGTCGACCTTGAATGTGCGATACAGAAATCCCGAGATAGAGATTGCAGCCTGTCATATTTTATGATGTCTTGTATGATGTCAAAACCCGACTAAGAGCTTCATGTGATCAACTGTATTGCGTTAAAAGTCAAAACGATTATAAACAATAATATAAGTATTTTAATTAGAATGCGTGTAATATAGATGCAGATGTCTGAACTATAGCAGCAGCTAGTGTTTTATATTTAATTTTCTCTCTTAAATTATACAGGTACACATTACGTTTACAAAAAGTTTCCCTTTCATGACCTTTTGCAATTATCGTTATAGTTTGTTCATTTCAATATAAAATAATATTGTATTATAATATATCGTATAAATTATATTCACGTTTTTATTCTCTCTTTCCAGCTATAATGCTTCCCTCGATATTTGTCACGTGCATACTATGAAATTCAACGGCTTTCATATGTATACGTCACAAACATTGTTGTACGCGTCGGATAGTGTGTGTATAAAAACGTGTTTGAAAGTAATTATTGCAAWTTTTTTTTGTAAAAACTCCCTCAAATACTCTTTAGTTAAACTGGGTACATGAATTAAGTTGTAATTATATTATACATATATTATATAAATAATATAACATAACGTGGCTTGTATGTCAGGTTTATGGATGTAATATATTTTTTTTTTAATCATTCGAAAATTACACGTTTCATAGTTCCTTTGTGAAAACACGCATTTCTTGACAATATATCYATACTTTAATCGAATCCATTAAAATATCGGTTAACACAGAGTTCACCAACGGTTAATGTAAATTTCGTAAATTCACGGAATTTTCCAGAAATACAATACGCACAAGTGCATTTAATATAATATAGCCTATAGGTACACTATTTGATCGATAAATCTATTTATACGACCATGATGTTTACTGTTTTGATATTTGATCTGTTGTGGTATCAACGTTATTTAATATTATGTAAAGCAATAATTCAAAGATAAATAGTTTTATATAATAATATGTATAGGTATACATTTAGTACAACTGACRACTGTCAAGAGAATGTCGGCGCACTGTTTGTTTTCTCTATCTGACTCACGCATAGCATAGACCAAACGCATTTATTCAGAATCATTTTTTTATTAATGTTTTTGAATAATCTTAGAATAAAATCACCCCATACAATATCGATAGGAAATAATATTTTTAAGGGAATGATATCGATTTGTCTAAATATTGTCTCAAAACAATTTGAACAATTAAATGTACACATTTTTTTTTTATTTTAAAACTCTTACTTAGTTAAAATAAAATAAAATATAAAACCTAAACAATATTATCCTCTATAATTTTTATAATAAGTGATTTTACTCTACGATTACTCAAAACCCTAAAAAGAGGCGGAACCGTTTTATCTATATTGCGCGTGAGTCTGACAGAAAACAAATATTGTGCTGACATCCTATTAATACAGGAATTTATGAAATACATTTTGTTGAAAAATGTTTTTAAAAAATCAAAAATATACTTTAAAAAAAATGGGTAGGCATTAGGTTGTAAAGTATACGTGTACGTATACCTATATAATTGTATAGCGACACACTTTGTGCTTGTTATCGGAAGAGATTTTAACGGAATTGTCTACGTTTTGGCAGGCAGTAGCGACGATGGTGGTGGAGGCGGTGGCGACACAGACGCTGGCCGAAGCGAGGACGAGCGTTCCTTGTCCAGTGATTGTAGCGGCCACGGTGACGGAGGCGGTGTCGTCGTCGTCGATGACGGTTGCCGGAGCCGTAGCAGCAGCGCAAACAGCAACAACAACAACGGGAAAAAAGACACGATTGCGGCTGTTGACGAGGTCGGTGCCGTCATCGGCGCGGGTTTGAACAGCAGTTTCAACTTTTTTGAGCTGCCAGCCAACGCGGCCGCCATGCCGTACAACTTGGAGTTGCGGAACGCGGGCGCGAGCGGCGTGTGGACCAAGACACAGCTCCTCAAAGGCGTCAAGTACGGACCGTTCCTGGGCAAATGGGGCCCGAAGCCAGTGGACTCGCGGTTCGCCTGGGAGGTGAGTGACGTTCAAAAAACATAAATAACAATATAGGAAAAAAATTCYTTTATCGCCCATCAGCACATTATCGGTTTCGTAAATTATTATATACGTAATTTTGGTCCCCCTTTTTTTGGTTCGCGCGTCTTATTCTTATCCTCCTCTTGCGCGCGCGCCAGCCAAAACCTATGGGTATATATATACAGGTAAATAACAGTAAACACCGTCGAGCGGGACGAGAGGGAATGTGATCCGGAATATGTGTATAAAWGTAACAGCGCGATAAATATTGTGAAAAAAAAAATGCGCTAGATCTCGGAAACGCACGCCACCAACGGAAACTATATCGCCGCGTAGCGGGCACGCACAAAAGGTGTGAAGCTACAAAAAAGAAACGTCACACTTTGACAGTTGTCGGAGGGACGAATCGACGGATATAATATAATGTCGCCGAGGTGTCGGATGACCCTGCAGGGGATCTCCGCGAGATTAGCTACACATCACACACACACACACACACACACACTCTACGCACAACCGATACCATATATATATATATATATATATTATACGCGATAATATGTGTGTGTACGCGTATAATAAGATACGTGCGAACACCTCGTAGAAATGTCTATATATATATATAATATATATATGTATGTATGTATAAATATAAGCCGTATATAGGACGCCCCCGTTTGTAGTTCACCCCGACTATCACGCGCACCCGAGTAAAAAAGAGAGTTTAAGTATAAAACCTCCGATTGTTGCCGGTTCGATCCCTTTTCAATATAATATACGTTGCTACTGGTTATAATATAGCTGTAGCGGACTGTCGGTCGCGCATTTTTCATCAATAWAATTTTGACGAAAAACAATTGKTCAAGTATTACATAATAGGAATGTTTCGACGAGTCTCCTATATAATATTATGTCTGTATTTTGTTGATATTGCAATATGATGTGCAACATCGTGTAGGTATATGTACGATAATATACTACATTCTCTTCTCGTTTACAAGCTTCAAAACATCAGCTTATTTTACCCGTCTATGATTAGTATTGTTTTTTTCTAGTTCATTTGAATCAAAAGCACTGGTATAGCTCAAAATCATATTATTAYGTTTCAAAAAACGAAATATGTAGTGTTGAACAGGGTGCACATTCTGTGTACGAGACACACCCCGTACAGATTATTATATGTACAATTTGTACAAACGATGTACCTATACACGATATTATATAATATATATTGTCATTGTGTAGATTTTTGACGGGCAAACTCGCCTCGTTTTTGGTTCATTAAAATTTATCCGCCCGGTCAACTGGAAAATTCGCCACCACCTATACTCGTCGGTGGCTTGTATGAGTTCAGACGTGCAGTGCACATATATATATAAATATATACTATATATACTATATACTATATACTATATATTATTATCACCACCGCCACGCATTGAGCCGCACGGATAATGCGCGTACGCTGTATACTTATTATAATATGCCGCTGGTATACTATAGTAGGTATCTATCCATATGCACAATATATACATATTATACRGACACGCACACACACAATCCGACCGCCTAATGTCCGCGAACCCATTGTCCCCACGGCCGAGGTGTGAACTGATCGAATTTTATGGTCGGTATCATCTGCCCCCGGCGGGCGGTCCAGGTTTACAGTGCAATCCGCGATGAGGACGGCTACTGCGACTATATTATATCATATACATATTGTATATTATATAATACGTTTTATACGCGGGCACACATACGATTATTATATTCTGCTCGRGCATCCATAATAATAATATAATATCATATATTATGGTGAAATCCCCACGATAATCTATGTTATTATGCTGCGGTGTTCGCGCGGATGCAAGAATGCCGAGAGATAATTTCTTGACGCGATTTTCGTCGTTCTCCCATGGCCATATGGGTTGTTCCGAGGTATGCTCACAGCACTGCTGCAGTATACATAACACACTAAACGTAGGTATTCTCATATTATACTATCGCACCTGTTTATACACGCGCATGCATATATACATATACGACGACGGCGAGTATAAAGACGAGACGCTAAACTGCCGCACGCCGCCGCTCCGGAGAGTACCTACCCCGAGTATTCCTTTCCACCATACCRCCACTCAACCACCCTACCTCCAACCGATATACGACGGCGCTCGTGGATAACGAYAAATCTACAATAATAATAACGTGTATCGTATACCTGATTATGAGTTCGTTATTATCATACATTTCACAGTCCCCTTGAATACCCAAACGTGYATATGGTCGATGACGCTAAACAGAACGCCGAAAACGCGTTGTTATCGCGTCACGCGCACGAACGCCGTTCTTGCGCACGCTCGCTTGGCTGCTTACTCGACTTAACAGGTATAGATGGTTAGTTAACCGTAGACAGGTCGTTATAAGATGTTTATTATGCGTTGTATTATACAACATACAAGTTAGGTACAAACAACCGCGTTCGTTTATCGCTAAATCGAGTGTMGTGCGGACAACCGAACACGATTTGACAAAATATGACAATGCGCTGTTCGTATATTATTATTATATTGCTATAATATAAAGTCTTATACATAGTCTTTCATCCCTTTTCGTTATTTACGCTTACCTATTTATTACATCAYAAAATCATATTCTAAGCGCGCGGCAAGTACTTATATATACCTATAATACAATATGAGTGCGTATTCCGTATTATAATAATACCACATATTTTATAATGTACCATGTATGAAACTATAAATACAGGTTGAACGTTAACACCTTTTGATGTCCAAGCTCTTTGTATATAGTAGGTACTTTTATTCATTATTCACTATGAAATCGTCGTTCGAACCTTATTTATTTATTATTTGTTACATTTTTACTGTTGTCCATATAGTCTATATAGAGTCTAGATGGTTATACCTATAGTCAGTGATATATTTCATCCACATTGTGTTCATATTATTTCGTGTCGTTCGTCTCCAAGTGGTAAACTCGATTGTGCGCGAAAACTGCCGAGCTATAATTTTCTGTATTATATACCTACYATGTACACTATATTTTCGTTTCATACAAGAGGTATATTAAATATTTTCGGGTAGTATAGTATTTTTAAATCAAATGTCCATGAATACTACAGCTTAAAAATATTTATAATATTTATCTGACAATCATACAACGAAGTGCAATTTTCCCATAAATGAAACATATGTTTTATTTTAACTCGTAAAATGGGCATTACCGAAACATAGGTGTACGTATATTGCAAGCTACAGAATTGTTTGACTACCAATCATAAGGAAGCGAGTAAGGAAACATTTATAGGAAACCCATTTTCGATTAATTTTCAAGACGTGAGCGTGTATATATGACAGCACCGGTTCCATAAACACAATTCAAAATATTTTTGTTTTCCGGTTCTTAGGTAGAATATTATATTATGTACGGCGATGATGACGACGTCGTAGCAACACTGCAACAGCAGCCTGCAGGACGGCGAGTAAGTGTGGGTGAGTATGTGTGCGCGCGCGCGCTTGCGTTACGCACGCAGCAATAATGGTTTTTCATCAATCAAAGTATAAACAGTATAATATTATACTAGGCGGCGGATATTGCCTTAGCGTCATCTGTTATCAGCATTCACACATCTGTAAAAACCATTCGGAGCGTGATGCTATCCGCGGGCCCGGAATGATTTCGTGAAAAATCGGTGTATGTATATTGTATATATATATATATATTAGGTTATATGTATGTGTGTATACGCGTTATTTATTAAAATCGCGAGGGTTTTCACCATTTGTGGAGGCGACGTGGCACCATTCATCTCAATCATTTCCGCGAAGGAATTCGCGTTCGTGGAGGCTGTTGCGCCGTTGTTGATTTATCAGTTAAACGTAACGGAAAATACTCGCGGCGGCGGCGTCGATTTGGCTCAGGTTTTTTCTCCTCTTCCGCTGAATGCTTCCGTCCACCCCACCATCACCCACTGCCGTATCGAATTACTGAAAGAAAATATTGTTTTAATAATATCCAATCTGTGCGTGCGGAAATCCCGACGATAGTCCCTGTAGCATTGTATGTAGGTAACTCTGCGAGTCATGTATTTTGTATATACGCTTTTTTTCAGACTCCGCGATCGATACCTAACCGCTGCAAAGCAAATCAAATATGAATAAATACCTATTCTGAAATATCGAAAACCGGAGAGATTTTAAGATTTAATTTTCATCCGTGTAATATTTCAAAATCGGCAATGACGGCAATCAAACGATTTCGGTCCTAATATAAAATTATTTGACGTTTGATGTGATGGATGATGGTATTTTGTTTGAGCCTTTTGGCGTTTTTTGAGTGTATATTTTACCTGCTTTACTTTCTCTTTTGTTATTATTTTCATTTTATTATACCTAGTTTAATCTTTAAATGATATATGTTGAAAATTTGAGTGAAACGTTGACTGCAGGCTGTATGAAACTGACCGCAAGTATATAAAACGATATCGTGTTTTTCCCTGTGCAAGTCGAGGTCGGTATATATTATAACCACGCCTTCGTAACCGCACGCGAAACGAAAGATGCGGGGCCAGCGTTTGGCTAATTGGACAAGACCCGCCAACCAAGCTCCGCCTTTTCAAACTTCACCGGAGCGGAAAAACGATTCGTTTTCCATCTCGAGTGGTCTTGGAGAAGAGAGCAGAAGTCGTATTTTTTATTATTTGTTTGTTTATTTGCTTGTGACTTGACGACCGGAAAAATAGTTCAAGCTGACGAGCGGAAAGAGAGCAAGAAATTCGGGGTTGGTTGATAATTCGAGTGTCTCATACAGTGTGCCGTGTAYCCCCCTCCCCCCCAATCAGAGTCCTTATTATATTTTTTTTTGCATAATAAATCGCAAACGTATAAAATATACCTAACAATAACATTATATATACCTTCTAAGAAAACAGGTAAAAACCGTCGTTGTATTCAAATTATATTATATTTATATAA